GGGTGCTGCATGATGGAGTGAGCTCCCGTCTCTACTTCCAGCTCCTGCCAACCTAGCAGCTCGAAAGCAAGAAATTGCAAGTAGATAAATAGGTACCACTTTGGTGGGAAGGTAACAGCGTTCCGTGCACCTTGGTGTTTCGTCATGCCGGCCACATGATCATGGAAATGTCTTCAGACAGCACTGGCTCTTTGGCTTTGAAACGGAGATGAGCACCGCAACCCTAGAGTCGGATTCGACTGGCTTTCGAGCAAGGGAACCTTTACCTTTACCTTTTTAAAGAAAACAATCCAGAGATGTATTTGCATTTTATCTCCCTCTGACAACCTGATGAAAGAACTTGAGTCCAGTAGCACATTAGAGACCTAGGAGATTTTCAGAGTATATGCTTTCGAGAGTCAAATTTCCCTTTGTCAGATATAAGACAGAGAGCGCTTTCTCTGCGGCCATCCAGACCACTCAGTGTTTGAGCTGCAAACCTAATGGACAGGGAAGGAACCATTCTAAGGCTGCAATCAAACGCACCTTTAGATTTGACATAGGTGCGAATGCCTGATGGATCTAAAGGGGGTGATCAGACAGCAACTGCTGGGAAGCGTCCCGCAGTCATCGGCAACCCGTGCTGCTCCACCACAGAAGCAGAGTTAAAAGACACTGGGGAAAGTCCGGTAGTAAACAGGTTCCGATGGGCCACAGACGGATGTTCCCCTGTCTGCTCGCTAAAGCATGCTCTCAAGCTATCGGAATGGCCTGATCAGGCCATATGACAGCTTATACCCAGAATAAAGCTTCGTTGGTCTTAAAGGTACCATTGGACTCAAACTTTGTTTCTCAATAGAAAAGAATGCTTTAATAGACATATGATTTAATTGGTCCAGTCATTATGTTTCGGTCACTCTTGTCCTTCCTTTCCTTCTCCCTGGGGCTCTGGTAGGATCTACATTAAGAAGGTGCAGAAGTTTCCTGAATATAGGGTTCCAACAGATCCCAAAATTGATAAGAAGATCATACGAATGGAGCAGGAAAAAGCTTTCAACATGCTGAAGAAAAACCTGATTGAAGTTGGAGGGGTGCTGAGGTAATGTCTGCTGCCGCTGCCACAACAACAACAACAATAATATATTGTTAAAAACATTTTAATGCTGCCTTTCCACCCAATCAGATGAAAGCCTTTCCTTGACCGAATCTGGCTGCATTCCTGTGACAACTTTATATGGTTGGATCTCACCCCTGTGCACTAATGTTAAAAAAAGGCTTGTAATTTTAAGGAAACTTAATCCTTATCCCCTAATAGCCCAGTTTAGCCTGATCTTGTCAAAACTTGGAAGTTAAGCAGGGCTGAGCACAGTCGTTACTTGTATGGGAGACCACCAAGGAAGACGGGAATCGCTATGCAGAGGAAGGCAATGGCAAACCACCTCTACTCATCTCTTGCTCTGAACACCCCATGCAGTGGAACTTCATGGGATCTCCAGGAGTTGGCTGCGACTTGGTGGCACAATTTGTCATCTTTATCCCGATCTTCTGTGCAAGCATTTGGCAAGGCATCTCCTTAGTGATGAATCAAAAAGTGTGTGGGTCTCCACATCGCTTGTTGGGAGACGTTGTGTACAATTTAAACGCAGACCGCATATGAGTGTGTTTGCCAGGGAGTCAGGAAACCCCTAAGGATTTGATAGGCCTTTCTCTTATAAATCGCTGGCCACCTAGCCAGTTAGTGTGGAACATGTACAAGTTTTGAAGTTACCAAAATGGGAACTGCAGGCATGCATGTCCTCTCTTCCTTTATCAGAAACTAATTATACCAGTTCTTGTCAAAATATTTTGAGGGTTTGCTGCTGGCATGGAGTCAACTAACAACTAACCAACAATGGCTGTGTTTCCATGTTTATTGAATACATAGGAATCATATGTTAAACTTTGCATTTTTTTATTGCCAGTGGGGGGAAAAATCAACTCCTTTTTGCTGTCTTGCTTAGAAACTCTACCTGCCAGTTTTTCTTATCAGGTGGTACGTGCAGTTACCCACCCAGCAGGCTCACCAGTATCATGAAATGGAGGAGATGTGCCTCCCACCTTCGCCTTTCTCCATGCCATCTCCCGAGGAAGATGATGACGCAGTCAGAGATGAGAACTGCGTTTTGCCATCACGCCTTCACCCGCAAGTCGCGGATAAGATCAGAGAACTCGTGTCTCAAGGAATACAGCAAGTCTATGCAGTGAGGAAACAGTTACGGTACGGCTTTGAAATCTCCATCCACTTGGTTTGGTTTCAACCCCACTCTAAACCACTAGAACTTCCCCCTTTGGGTCTCGCTTTTGTATTGAGGTATTATCTGCAGTGCGAGAAGTCAAAGTCTCAGTTTGCAGTTTTTCCTCTCTTGCGTGGTCTCTGTGCAGCATGTGTCTTTCTCAGTGTTTCTAAACACTAGAACTTCTCCCTTTTGGGTCTCGCTTTTGTATTGAGGTATTATCTGCAGTGCGAGAAGTCAAAGTCTCAGTTTGCAGTTTTTCCTCTCTTGCGTGGTCTCTGTGCAGCATGTGTCTTTCTCAGTGTTGGCCGTAAATTAATATTGCTTTACATCTTATTTGAAGTCTTCTCTGCATAGTTCCTGTTTATGCCCATACGCCTCTTTATAGTGAGTTTTGGGGGCCTTATTATTGATGAAATGATCTAATAACAAAATGATCTAACAACGACAATGCAGAGTGCAAGTTAGCATGGCCAAATGTCACTG